CGTCATTCCACCAATATACTTGTCTCCTGTAATATTTCGCAGATCTTCTAGGCATGGCGGCGTCGCAGCAGCTTGTGATCTGTCGCATGGTGGTCTCTACCAAGGCCTCTGCATTCTGCGTAGATATTTCTCCATTTAGAGTACCAATAACTTTGATATTGTTGTGTCGGAGCAATGAGGTCATCTCCATGTCCTGCCCTACTAGCAGAATTTAAGGAACCTCTTTTGAATCTCAGACGTAAATACTTGGCGCATAAGATATTAATTAAATACAGATCATCTAATACACTCCTCACTGGAAAAATATCAGTGGCCATTGTCATCCATACTGGCGACACAAAAAAATCTCCATTTTCAAACATCCTCTTGAAGTCATTACATCTAAATTCGAAGTAATCTTTCCAAACTATACTGAACACACCTCTCTAAATAACTTCATACTATCTAGTGTACTAAGAAGTAATGAATCTGCTATTCATATACATACAGACGGATCTAAAAGTTCAAATGGCACCGGCTATGCATGAATGAATAAATGGATGAATCTTGAAATTAGAGGCATTCCGGCCATCATAAGGAGTAAGTGCATACGCCGCTTAAGCGGGCCCTTATGCATCTCTACATTCCTTAGATCACAAGTCTCGCCCTTTTAGCGGAGTTGAGAATCGCCTTGAGTCCAAGCTCCTTGACGTCCTGAGGGTCCAAAGTAATGGACCCCAGTATAGTCTGCCTATAGTAGCTCAGAGCTTCACAGCGACACAAACCATGCGCCGAATTCTCTTCCTCTACTCCGCAGCGTTCACACAAGGGATCCTCAGTCACCCCCATCATGTGCAGGTGGCGCCTTAACGTGTTATGTCCAGACAACAGTCCCACCAGCAACCTTTGGTTGGCTCTATCCAGAGATAGGCAGAAGCGTCCATCCTTAGCACTGGGCCCTTCAATGAGTTCCCGTGCCTGGCGGAGATGTCTGGAGATACTTCCCCATTTCTGAGAGGGTTGTCTTGCAACCCACGTCTCCATTTTCCTCCAAGCTCTATGCGCGGTCACTCCTAGAGCTGGCTCAAGACCAACGACCTTGCTGGTTGATCCTGTCTTCGCCAGAGTGTCCGCCGTCTCATTGCCCCTTATCCCAGTATGCCCCGGTACCCATATTAACGATACCGGATGCCTCGCTGCGAGGCAATCCAGAGCCTCCCTGCATTGAAATACAAGACTCGAAGTAATCTTACAGGCACTCAGTGCTTTAATTGCAGCCTGGCTGTCGGATAAGATTGTTATTCTTCTCCTAGGCCCACCGTCCTCCAGAATTTGAGATACACAAGCCAGAATCGCAAAGATTTCAGCCTGGAAAATAGTGGTGCATCCACTGAGAGTCAGAGATAGCCTAGTTCTAGGCCCAGAGACCCCAGCACCTGAGCCCTCTTCGGTGACCGAGCCGTCCGTGTACCAGACCCGCCTGCTCACTCCGGAGAGTCTCCGGCTACCGGCGTCCCACTCCTCCCTCGTTGGATACTCCACAATAAACTTGCAGTGGAAGCGATATTTAGGGGTAATACGATCACCTCTGCTTAGAAGGACAGGGTCCTCCCTTTGCAATTCGACTAAGATGGCAGTATGCCCCTTCACAGGATTCAAGAAAGCCCAGCTGCCCTGACTCCACAGACGATGAGCGACCACTCTCGCTTCACCGCGGATCACCAGATCCAACGGTGCGAGATCCAACAGAGCTTCCATTGCACTCAACGGCGTTGTTCGCACTGCGCTTGAAATGCTAATACAGGCCAAACGCTAAATTTTATTGAGTTTGGCCATAGTTGTCTCAGTTCTAATGCAAGGTCACCAGACCAGGGAGCCGTACAAGAGAGATGGACGTACTATCGTCGTTTAGAGCCAGTATACCAATTTGGGTTTAAGCCCCAACCTCTCTGCTATGAAGTTTGTGCACCGCTCGTTTTCTATACTCTAATTCTTTGGACCAGAAGGTTGCCTTGCCCTTACCTTGAACTTTGCGTAACGGGCAGTTTTTCTCATATGAAGCCGTCAAGTCCCTGCTCAGAGACTCGAGGGCTGCGTCTATGTCAGAGCCCCTACAAAGTCTGTATGGGACCGCTCCAAGCTTACTGTCAAGGTCTGCCCTAAAGGACCCCCATCTAGTATGCCTAGGATTCCGAGCATATTTATCTGGAATCTCTCCATCAGTCTTAAACAGTATATACCTGTGATCCGATAGAGAGGGTGCTAGAGACACTTTCCAGTCCCTAATGTCCTGAGCTAAGTTAAGCGTGGCTATGCATACTTTATCTTTAATCCATTTCAAAAGATCATTCGGCGGTTTTGTCTCCCGGAAATCTGTTCAATCTGTACAGCGGAATCTTTTGCTATAAAATCTGCACTGGACTGGATGAAGATTAATATAGAAGAGCTTACCAGTGTAGCCATAATTTCAGATTCTAAGTCGGTACTTAAGAGCTTAGAAGGGTCAGCTATTAAATGTTTCAGTAGTGCAATCTTAATGGAAATAAGGGTTACCTTGTGCGAGTTGGCAAAGAAAGGCATAAAAGTTAATTTTGTCTGGTCGAAAGCACACTCAGGAATATGTGGTAATGAGATAGCTGACAAAGCGGCCAGATAAACTTGCTTTGTAGAAACTACTGAGTAGAAAAAATATGTTTCAATAAATGGTTTAAATAATGATTTCCAAAATAATATGCTAACCTCATGGAAAGAGCGATGGAGCATATATTGTAGTAATTCTAGAAACCCGTATGCAATAATCAATCCTTCTTTTCGATTATCAAGTCGGAAGATTTTACTCTACCCTAATAACGAGATTGAAACTAAATCATGGTAAATTCGGAGACCACCTTTACAGAATGGGAATCATTGATAATAACTGGTGCGAGTGTGACAACACCAAAGTAGCAGATTTAAACTATATTTTCTTTCTTTCTTCTAATTTAATACAAAGACTAATTTTGGAGGATCAGATATCACTTCCAATCCAACTGTCATCATTGCTAAGTTTAAACAGAAAGTCCACCCTGGACAAAATAGTTGGGTTCGCAAAATTAGCTAAGATGGTGATATAAAGCACCAGTAATACAAATTTAAAAAATGTGTGGCTAATGGAATTTTGTGCAAAGCCACCCCCCCCCCCCCTACATACATACATACATACTACTACTAATTCTGCATGATTATTTACACGTAACGATACTTTATTCGCTCTGGGTACCTCATATTCTGCCGGAGCAGAAGACTCGTTGAACGTCGTACCGGAAGATGCTGAAAATGCAGAGTCACAGGTGACGAGACCTGGCTCTATTATTACGATGTACCGACCAAGGCTCAAAACAAAGTTTGGATCTTTGATGGTGAGGACACACCCGTAGCTGGCAGGAAATCCCGAACTGCTAAGAAAAAAATGATAGCTGTATTTTTCAAATAAAGCGGGATTGTGGCGCTTGTGGTCACAAAAGGACACAGAGAAGTCAGTAACAGCTAAGTGGTACACGGAACAGTGCCTGCCTAAAGTCATACAGTCTATGAAAAACCTGCGGCCAAGGTCATGAATGGACATTTGGAACCTCCACCATGACAACGCTCCAGCACACCGCGCCTAAGCTTGAACGGAGTAGTTGACCACTACTGGACTGAAACTTATTGAGCACCCTCCTTACAGTCCAGATCTTGCTCCCTGCGACTTTGCACTGTTTCTGCCTGTGAAAATGAAGCTAAAAGGAAAACGGTTTTCTAGCGATGAGGACCTTCTGAGGGCTTGGGACAACGAGTATGCCGCAATCCCGGATGAAACTTGGCAGAGCTGGTTTAAGGACTGGCTTTGGCTTATGGAGAAGTGAATTGAATGTGGTGGAAATTACTTGGAATGAAGTCAATAAATAAAGCTGTATTGCAATACATTTGTACTTGTAAACCTCTGTGAATTGTGTCATGAGCCCTGGTGGACGTCTGTCTTTTTACGGGGCCATATGTAGAATACGCATCCTTTATTTCCATTTCTTCTTTCTTCTAAGATGGATATAAACGACTTTGACAGTGAAAAAAGTTCTTATTTCTTTTAATTCATACATGAACCCTTGGTTGCCACTATTTAACGCAATATTCTGATATACCGAGCAAAATATATCACCAGCATTTTGGTTTTGGATGAATGCCCACCGCAAAAGTAAGATTGGGATTTCTTCAGTAGGGGCCTTAGTGTGCACTCTTTAACATAACAATACATTTCTGATGGTCCCAAACAGTCATTTGAAGTGGAACACAGCAATTCAGCTTGTAGCTAGACAGAATCATATCATTTACTTATTTGGATGACTATACTTGAGGGTCTCTGATAGTTAGAATTCTTTTGTTGAAAAAACTGTTCGAGTCAAAAATGCCTTAGTAAAATATCCTTCGTTAATTGAATATAGGTTGCAGAAGTGTAATCCCGATAGCGTTATTCTCTCACATGAATTAAAGGTTCCCGAGGATGAGAGATATGATTATATTCTGTTTCTTAAAATAGGATGTAGAGGGCGCTAGGTAGACCTTATATCACTATTTCATACCATAACCTTCTTGCTAGTAATGCTCCATTATTTTTCAATCGGAATTATGATAGATTGATGTTTTACATGAAAAAAGATATTCCACGATTACATCAATTAATATGTTGTAGATTAGAAATAAAAGTAGGCATAAATAGTTGTCAATGCTTCAGGTATATTGGAATTTCTTATCCAATGCATCTTCCACCCTGAACGAATTGTTTTATGTGCGTAAAATGTTTAAATGTAAATGAAGAGTATTCATATCTATCTCAATCTCATTATTTCTAACATGAGTTAAAACATGATTACTATTTGTCGAGTTCATTACGAACTATACCTTACACAAATAATTTTTAGACACACGCTCTGTATATTAAAATGAAGCTCCAGGCCAATGCACGACAAAATGATGACAATTACAAAAAAATCTCGTCACATTTGTAGGTTACATGTCATCATCAATGTCATCGATAAAAAATTTTTGTAACTCATCATGATCAACCGTCCATTCTTTTCAACAAATACCAATATTTTTTATGAAAGTTTAAACGCCTCAGGCAAGTGTTTACGGAATTTCTTGATAATGTTGTAATATGGCTGAACTGAATACTGCACATTTTGTGGTGGTATAGCATCCACAAGTAGACACACTGAGGGAGTATGTGGATTTTGGGCTATACAAAATTTCGAATTTTTATGATTTTTGAAAAACCGCTTTGTTTAGAAGAGGCGGGCCTGAAAAAATCCAAAAAATAACAGTTTTTATTAGCAAAAATAACATATGAAGCTCCTTAATCTACGAAGTCTGTTCGAAACCCAAATGATTACTTCTAGGTAAGCTGAAAGACTCCAGTATTTTCTTCATGGAGCAGTTTTAAATGTACTAGACTCGTACCTTATTGAGTTGCATCCAGCAATTATCTGATTATGCACTAGAGTTGTGCAAACTAGTAACAAACCTGGATGACCTCGGTATGTAGCAACTGTGGGATATAACGTGTCACTGGCGAATTTGGAAGATTTTAATGTTATTTCTCGAAAAAATGTTCGCCCTCTATATGCGAAACGAAGCGACTTTCCAAAAACCGCCAAAGCTTAGATAACTTATCTAAGCTGTGGTCAAAATAGTCTGAGTATAATTATTGATTTACGGATTCTACATGAAGATAGCCAACTTAATACTATATTCCCGCGTTCAAAAAAGTATCCGAAATGAAATGAGATACGGTAGCGTCATCTATGAAAATTTGCCACAGCTACTTTAAGAAGGTTAATATCTCATAGATGGTGCTGGAGCCAAATATATGCTATATACTAATATAGTTGGCTACGGCATCATTTACGAGAAACTAACCTTTTCAAAGAAGATTTATAATCACGGCAGAGGAGAAACATAGCTGTGACAAATTCTCATAGATGACGGTATCTCATTTCAACTGTGCCAGAGTACCAGTAAGACTCGAAGCATATTCTAACAATGACGGTTTGCAACCGTGCTTTTCAGATAACTAACTGAATAGTCAAAAGAAGACATCCCTCGGCTGTGTGCGTCGATCTTACTTGGTTCATTGTTTCAAGCTATCCACAACTGTCAGTAATTCGTTGCCAGAACACGCCGAAGAGTTTCCTGATCACAATTTTTTGATAATTTATTAGCTCCATCCAAAATAAACGGTCAGAACGTCATCGTATCTCAAGAACAGCAACGTAAATTATTTGACACGCTTACTACAGGAATAATGGGTTTCCCCAGTAACAATCAATACAGAGCTGATCACTGTTCTCCAGGCCAATACCTCCAAGCACAAAAGCAGTTCGTTCCAGGAGGAATGGCGTTCTCCTTCAACACAATGCAACCATTTTTTGCACAAGCGTGAGTTATCATAATATATTAATTTAGTTCTCCATTGCTAAAGGGTGTTCTGGATGTTAGGGCTTTCCTATACTAGGAAACAACTACGTTTGAAATAACAAAGCTAATATGCGGCAAAACAGCAGTGAAATAAGTACAAAGAAACTACTAGTTTTTCTCGTTTATTTGGTTGAAATTTCAAGTATCGTTCATAATCAGCAGCATCCTGAGATACTGTAAACTAACATCAAATGACAAATTTGTTATTTCTATAGGAATAGCGTTTGTTCAAATTCGGCTTATAAGCCAACAGCTCGGTCCACTTAGACGTCTAGGCTGTATACTGAGTCACGTCAAACGTTTTCACCCAACTCAATCTTTTCCTGAAGGCAGGGTCGGTTTTGATATCGCAAATTCGGAACCTGATGACTCGCTTGTCTTCAAACTGCGGCGTATGTTTCTAGGGAGATTTACTTATTTTTACAGTAACTATGCGCTGTGTAAAGTCACAACGATATATTAACATTAACACATTCACTGTTGTAACGTGTATGTGAAAGTTTTCCTATGTGCGAACGCGCTAGGTGCTCCTAGCGTTAATGCTGACAAACTAAAGTGAACCACCACATTGCCTATCCGCGGTGCCAAGAAGTCGTACCAGAAAATGCTTGCACAGGCTTCTGCAATGGGTTAGGTTACTGTCAGACCCAAGAAAGAGGTCAGTTCGATAATCTAATTTAATGTTTTATTTTCGTTTTGAATAGAATCATTTATTTTTGATTTCCACCGATGGTGATAAAATCAACACACCTGCTCGCTGGACGACACTCCCCTACGAGCGCTAGAAGGGTACTGACCAAAATCTATCAGCTATGATCATGGAGGTGGAAACCTTGTCTTGGAATGTACAAAATGGGATGTTGTCAAACGAATCAATGATGTTGCAGAATTTGTGGCAGTTCTGACCTTTCATTTCGACCTAAAATGGAGCGCCGTTAGGACCGATCCGGAATTGATCCTAAACAGATTTGACACAATTCAAAATTCAATGACGTTTGGGGTCAAGCGTACAAGTTAGCTAGGGAAAAGCTAAAACTCGCAGACAGAGTTCACGATGAGTGAGCCGGACGAAGCTACAACACACTTGAAATCATGCTTGATAACGAGAGTCTTTCCGAAGTGCTGAAAGGAGTCTGGTTTGATACTCATCCCAAAACCTCCGAAATCCACCAATAGGGATGTCAAATATCTATATTTATCTCTTTGTATGCTGAGTACGGTTGGAAAGCTTTTACAACGACTGGTAGAAGGCAGGCTAAGAAAATACGCCGAGGAAAACGGCTGTCTCCCTCGCAATATGGTTTCAGAAATGGAAAGTTTGCTATAGATGCAGAGGCACAGCCGACGAAAGTAGCGGATAGCGGGAGCTACAGTAGTAAGAAGCTTCGCGTTATGGTTGCTTTTGACGTTAAGAATGACCAAAAATCGCCCAATCTCTCGAGAAGCTGGACACCGGTAGCTATCGAACATAATAAAGGGCTACTTTGACGAGAGGTGACTTATGGTAGAGCAAAAGACGATGAAGGTAACCATGAGAGTACCGCATGGCTCCATCCTAGGGCCGTTGCTTTGAAACGTGTTCTACAATGGGGTTTTTCGATTACAGATGCTGACGGGAATTCGCTTGATAGGGTATGCTGACGACCTTGCGATTATTAGTGACTAGCAAGGAGAGAGATACACTTGAAGGACTCTCGGCTTACGGAATCACGAGAATTACCATATGGATGGAAGAAAATGGCGTGAAATTAGCTCATGAGAATACAGAAGTAGTTATACTTTCTGGCAGACCGAAGAAAACTTCATTAGCTATTAAGGTTGAGAGAGAGAGAGAGAGAGAGATTCGGAGCCAAAATGCAATTAGGTATCTGGGTGTGTGGCTTGACAAAGATCTGAAAATTATTGAACATATAAGGTGCACCACTCACAAGGTAAATAAGGTCGTTGCACCTCCGATACGGTTAATGCCATCTGACGGAGACCCCAGCAGTGAGAAGCGAAGGATTTTGGCAGGGGTGCCAAACTTGATTATGCTGAACGGAACTCCTATACAAATACTCGTATATAGCAAGGCCTTGAGGAAAGAAAAAATATACATAGCTAATACTGAGCAGCCAGCGAAAAGTATAGTGCTGCGCGTGGTATGCGCCTATAGAACGGTGTCGACCGCTGTACTGTTGGTGGTAGCTGGTATCCCGCCAATTGATTTGCTAGTTGCGGAGAGATGCACACTCTATAAAAAGGGAACCAATAGTATGTTTCTATTTTGCTCGGTTGTACATGTACATAGGTATAAAAGTATGTACGAGTATGTGTACGATAGAGATACCTTCGGTATGAAAACTGAGCGCAACGGTACCTACTATGAAGAAATGCAGCAAGCAAGGGTTTTAGTGAGTATGCCATTTCTGGAGAACTTCAGACTTCGAGCAGGAAGGGTCGACAGGGCAATACTGTTGAGTTTTTCTATCTGAAAGTGGCTATACAAGCTTTCCCCTATCAAAAAAGCCATCTATTATATTATTTATGAGTACGATGTATAACATACGACCTGTTCATATTCATATTACGATATGCCTCCCAGAGGATCAGTAGCAATCGAAGTCACTGATTAAAATTTTCTCTATCATATTTTTTGAACAGGTGTGTTATAAATGTACGAATTTGATAAAATTATAAATGCGCTCCTGTGAGGGCCCTCCCAGTTAGACATACAAGCAAGAATCGGATGCTTGGTTGATAACGACGTCGAGTCATTGCTCGTATTTCGAAGAATTAACCATGATGTGAGTAAGCCTCTGTACCTCGCTAGTCAGCGCGTCGAGCTTATACTAACGAATTCGTTGATAGTAACCTGGAGGTCGCGGCATCGAATCTCCGCCTCTGAAGCTAATACCTTGCCATGGGTGTTGTGTTATCTATATCACGCACGGGGTGCAATATTAACAGGTACATCTCATCGCTGGAGCTGGTTTATTGTATCAGTTACCAGTAGATGGCTCGTGGAGAAGTACAGTGTTGAGGCTAGTTGCCAGGCTTCGCCTCCACACGACCACTACTACTACTAACAATGATACTAATCAGGATTTAAATTGTAGGCAACTACCGTATAACCAAGCACAGTTCAACAATACATTACCTCAAAGCATACAACCATTACAACACATAATGGTAAGCTCTCCTCAACCTAGCCACCAACATCAACTGGGTGCGATGCAACGTAGGCTTATGCAATGCCAGAAAGAACAAACAGAAATAATTGATGTCGATCACCAACATATTCCAACCTCATGGAAGTTTCACAAAGATGTTGGTACCTCATCGGAAGATCTTTTAAATTACCATACACAAACTCCTGGATCACGTATGTAAATTGAATAGTGACGTAAACTAATCGTACTTGCCTTCACCATAACTTAAGGAAGCGGCAATAAGGTGTGATTGGTATCCTGTGTTGCTTAAGTTACACCAAAGAATACAGCTCTAAGCTTCAAAATATCCTTAGGTCCGGTAGAGATCAAATACCTAGTTTTATTATTAAAGATTGTGCTTATGTTTTTGTCAAGCCGATGCCTACAATTTGCAACACTATATCGAAAACTGAATTTTTTTTGTGATGTTTGGAAGATAGCAAAGTTGTAACCGGTTCTGAAAGATGGTGATGGTGAACTCAACTATAGAGCTACACGTATTTTGAACAACTTTGCAAAGGCTCTTCAAATGGCGAATTACTTTTTTATCTTATATATATATATATATATATACATACATATCCGCAAAATTGGGGTTTTCCTTTTCAGAAACAACTACCCTTGAAATAACAAAGGTAATGTGTAGTAAAACGAGGGCGACCAAGTAAAAAAAAATAAAGGAAAAAGTACTCACTCTCCAGTTGACGAGAACGGCTAAGTACGTCTCTGCCCGAAATCATACCGCTCCAACAGCAAATGAAATCAGCTGATGTGCTACCGAGCAGACGCAGGCAAACAAGGAAAGCAAAATTTTGCGTAAAAAGTCTAGGTATTGCATCCCGTCCAATCGATTTGGGAAAATAAATGGTCCAATGAGCATACCGTTCACCATGCCAGCCCAAACATTCACCGAAAATGTTTGTTGAAAATGCGCCCGACTGACAGCGTGCGGATTTTCTACTGACCAAACACTGGTGTTGCGAAAGTTATTCACCTCATTACGCGTGAACGTAGATTCGTCTGTCACCAATATGCACTTCAAAAAGTCCGGATTATTGTCATGTTGATGCAACAACCACTCACAAAACCGCACTCTTGCTGGAAAATCGTCAGGTTGAAGGGCTTGTACACGTTTGACGTGAAACGGATACAGCCCCTCTTCACGCAGCGTTTGCCACACTTTAGTTTTTGATACTTGCACTTCTCTAGCCACGTCTCTAGTGCTTGTTGAGGGATTCTCGTCTACGCGATTACCTCTACACGCGTGACCGTAACCGCCGGTTGAAGGTTGCATAGTGACCTGACATACTGACCCCGACCCAGTTCTGTCGTCGGGTTGAGCTAGTGTCCTAGTACCACTCGGGGATGTCGCGGCTACCGGACGGTATTAAAATATTTTGGATGTTGCAGAGCCCTTTATCTCGGTTCCCTTAAGACATTGGTGTATATGGTACTAAGAAAAATTGCTTATGTTTTCAAGATCTACACGTCGTGTAAAGGAAAACCCCCACTCTGTGGACACCCTGTATATGTATACAACGTTATTTTATCATAAATAATTAAAAATGCATCGAACCTTAAAAATCGAAATATCTCAAAAACGGCTAACTATAACGAAAATTCAAAGGAGAGCTTTTTTATGTTGAAAAGTGCGAAGAATCAGTGTTTTTATTCAAAAAGCAAAAAAGTGCACTAAGAAAATTTTTTCGCTCATTTTAATACACTGCAGGTACAGTAGAGAGCGTCCTCTAGGAGCTACAGTAAAACTATGCACATGGTTCGTTTTGTCGTACCAAAAAACCCTTGTATACCAATTTTCACTGTTATACATCAAATATTGTTCGAAATATTTAAAAAAAACTATTTTAGCAAGTAAATTTAAACACCCTGTATTTCGAAAGCCACGCATTTTTCGACCCATGTTTATATAGACTTTATGCATTCATTTTAAAAGTTCTATCGAATCTTAAAGTTATGCATTGAACTTATGGGCAGGAGTAATTGGGGATCAAGTAATTGGGCCTATTGTACTTCCCAATCGTCTTGATTCAGAGGTGTATCTGAACTTTCTTCAGAATGAGCTCATGGATATAATACTATTGGATGTGCGCCAGCAGTTTCAAGAAAATATGTTTTTTCAACATGATGGCGCCCCTGCACATTTTGGACGCAATGTTCGAAATTGGTTGAATGTCAATTTTCCAGACAGGTGGTTAGGCCGAGGAGGTCCTATAGCGTGGCCGCCACGTTCACCTGACCTAAATCCATTGGATTTCTATTTTTGGGGGCCATTAAAAGACCTAGTTTACTCGACTGACGTAAATACTCAACAAGATTTACTTCAAAGAATCCATCAGGCTGCAAATGAAATAAGAAGAAAAAGGTTTTCCACTTTTCGGGCTACGCAATCATTAGTTCGTCGAGCGAGACTCTGTATCCAACAAAATGGGAATTTATTTGAACACTTATTGTAAAGCTAGTTTTAAGTATATCCAACTGTATGTCTTCTTTTTTAAACAAATTTCAATTTCGTTCGTAGAAAAAAATTTATTCTTTTGTTTTTGCCTAAATGTTAGCTATGTTGCAATAGAAATATGTATGTATGTATGTAATATTTACCAATTATTAAATTAGTTTTTTCGTTGCCATGGCTAATTATTCAACAATTCATTTAAATCCGCAGTTCATTTCCTATCATGTGGGAATTTTTTTTATTCAAAAATGGCACAATTTATCGATATTCAATAGGAGTACCTTTTTTATGTAGAAAACCCTAAATTTTCAAATTCTAAAATTGAACTTCAAAAATAGAATCGCACAAAAATGTTGGGACTAAAATAACCTGAGTCCGTCCCTGTTACATACGCTTTCAAACAAAACTGTCTAAAATTGTTAATATTTTTAAATCCAACATAAAAAACTAGGCTAGAATACCAAATGTTATGTCTTTATCTCAACACGTTTCGGAAATATTAAGGAAAAACCATCTTCAGGGGAGCCCCTTTAAAAGACCGTAGCGCCCTTAGGGGACGTTTGTCGACCTATGTTTATATAAATTTTTCTTCCTATTTTAAGCTCTAGAAACCGCTGGTAGAATATTGCACACTTTTTTCGGGACACCCTATACATACAGGGTGTTTCGGTTTATTGTTGCATAACTTTAAGATTCGATAGAACTTTTAAAATGAATGAATAAAGTCTAGTTTTTTGGTACGACAAAACGAACCATGGGCATAGTTTTACTGTAGCCGCTAGAGGGCGCTCTCTACTCTTCTCTACTCTTCTTAGTGCAATTTTTTGCTTTTTGAATAAAAAAACTGATTCATCGCACTTTTCAACATAAAAAAGCTCTCCTGTGAGTTTTCGTTATAGTTAGCCGTTTTTGAGATATTCCGATTTTTAAGGTTCGATGCATTTTTAATTATTTATGGGAAAATAATATTTTTTTTTACATTTTCGATTTGGGCATTACAAGTAATAAGATCATCGTTTAGATTGTGTTTTTAAACACAGCAATAATTCCTTACTCCAAATAAACACAAAAAAACAGAATATTAATTTGTTTAATTTTCCAATATTATTTTTAACAAATTACATTAATTATTTAGATAGTTAGGACAAACATTCAAAATCTAAAGTAGTTGCTCGAAATGTAAACCCAATTGTTCAATACACAATTCACATCTACGAATGATCAAACGTGGTATAGCATTATTCAAATAAAGCCTTATTTCATCACATGCAGTCCTGATTCTGTCCATTAGCATATCTCTTGTGGTTACGGGAGTCTGGTACACTTTTTCTTTTAGAAATCTCCACACAAAGACATCTAACGGATTTAAGTCAGGGAATCGTGGAGGCCAGGCGACTGGTCCTCCACGGCCGATCCATCTTTCTGGATAATTTTCGTCCAGCCAGTTTCTAACTATTCTCGAATAATGAGCTGGACAACCATCAAGCTGGAACCAGGCCAATCTTCTTAAATCTAACATAACATCATCCCACATATTTGCATGTTCAGCCTTTAAAAATTCCAAGAAGGTCGCAGCATTTAACCTTGCAGGCAAAAGGTAGGGTCCAAATAGTCGATTACGGTAGATACCAATCCACACGTTCACACTAAATTCATGCTGAAAATTTCTTTCCCGAACTGCATGCGGATTTTCATGCGACCAAATATGTTGATTATGAAAAATCACCACTCCACGTCTAGTGAAGCATGACTCATCGGTCCATAAAACGTTACTTAAAAACTCCCTATTATTATCAGTTCTATCAAGAATCCACTGACAAAATGTGATTCTTAGTTCTCCATCCCCTGGCTGTTCTCATTACACAGGTTGCAAATGGTAAGGACGTCTATGGTCATTTCTAAGAACACGGTGAACAAGGCTTGCTGAAATTCCCAAGGCACCAGAAGCTCTCCTAACACTTGTGGTCGGATCTCTATCAAACTCACGCAGAATCATACGGGTAAATCTGCGCTGACGAACATTTATGTTTTGATCCCTTTGGAGATTTGCAAAACCATTTTCAATTATTTTTCGATGCACTCTTACAAATATTGAGCGAGTTGGATGTCGTCTGTTTGGAAATCTTCGTGCATATTCTCTGGCTGCTTCTGCTGCGTTTCCATTTACAAAGCCATACACAAAATGAACATCCGCTCTTGATTGGAGAATAAAAATGGCATGTTTATAAAACTTACAAAAAAAAAAAACAGGTAAAAGAAAAAAAATTTCGTGCATTCACAATTGCAAAAAAACGTTTAAGGTTTCCACAGACAACAAAACTAACTGTCAACTAATTGACGTTTAACCTTATTCTGCTTTCAATTTCAAAAATATACCTAAAAATTATCGAGATACTGACTTTTTAACGATATTTTATCATAAATAATAAAAAATGCATCGAACCTTAAAAATCGAAATGTCTTAAAAACTTTTCTTTAATGTCCCCCTCCCCTTTGATTTTTTGCACGGATCAATTCAAAAAATTAAAACTTGAGGTAATGAAATTGATGCGTGAACACCAAAGCTCATTTCTTCCGGGAAACTCATACTCAATATCCACAAAAATTAATGTTTGGGTTGGGATATTGGGAGATCATATTATGGGGCCTCTACGTAGTCATGCCATAAGTTCTGTCCCTCGTTTTCAAACAAGTGTAGAC